ATTTTTTATAAATTTCCATAGGAAGAAGAACTAAGTACTAAGGAAATTTAAAAAAAAAACGAATCAATCTGAAACGACGCTGTGACGCGTTTCACGAACCATGATTCAACACTAGCATCTTTCCACTCGCGGACGCTCATCGCAGATCACAAGTTTTTCAAGCTTCTGCCATAATCCTCAAAGATCCACGGGCGTCACACTCTTCCGGTGTGCAATGACTGTTGTTTGCGTTTAGCGATGGTTCATCTGATTTATTTCATTTCCGATGGTTGTGCAGCTTTGACATTTGGCAGAAATACAGCTTTCCTTGTGATTCTGTTTAAGTGATAGAAACTGAAACTCAAAACCCAATTCCTTTGCCGTGCCACCCACCTCCAGAAAGTGATGCCCACCTGTGAACCTGTTTTTGTGTCGTCGAGACGGTGCCGTGCATCGAAGAACGGGAAAAACTTGACACTTCGTCGAACCCGACGACGACGACGACGACAAGTTGCAACCAAGCGGAACGAATAACGGTGACCAAGAAAACCAAGGATTAAAAACAGCCGGTCGTCGTCGACTTTAAACAAATAGTGAACCGGGAACCAAGATGATGGACGGATGGAAACAGCTGGGCTTCCATTTTTAAGTTCGAATGACTGATGGCTGATGCACAGGAAAGGAATAGTAGAACAAATGGCAGAGATGTGCACATCGACCATCAGGAAGCATTCTCTCTAACTAAAATTCTAAAGTCGACCATGGGCGACAGGACGATCATCCAACCGTGAAATATCTGAAACATGAAAATAGCTCTTGCTGCAATCGTACAGTTTCTAGCGTTCGGGAAACGACAGACACGAACGTCATCACCTCACGTTGTCGCTCGCTGTTGAGTGAATGTCACTCACTCGGAGAACAACTGAATGACCGGCCGATCGACCGAGTCCCAATCGGATAAAAGCCTTCCGGGGGCAACGAAAATAGCTGAATTGAGTGAATGAACGAACGAACGAGTGAATTTCCGGATGACCAATTGGCCTGTCGTCGCACGTCCACTTCTGCCGGACGTCGAACGTTCGCGCGCGATGCGGCAGTTTACACGTAGCCGAACAAGGACGCTGTGTCGTTTGTTGTACGGTGACAATGACGAGGCGACAGGCACACACACAACACTACACAACAAGGGGGACACGACACGGTGGAACTGCGAAGGGCGGATCTGCGCGTTGCCGGACGGAACAACGGCCATGTCACAACGTTAGACAAACACAGCACGGGACACGGAGCGAAGCGACACAACGGCGACGCGACCCACAATCCGGATGATGCCTGCAGATCCAGTAACAAACTGGGCCACCGTCGCCATGCAACGGTGAAAGAGTAAATACAACGGCGGCGGCGACGACGACGACGACGAACAGAACGGGGGTCGATCGGACAGCGTCGTCGTGAATTGGGTGACAGATGTGTGGCGAGTACCGACGGATTAGAACCGACCATAGGCGTCTAGATCGACGGATATTCGTTACCCGGTTAATCGAACAAAACAAAAGCAGTTCAGCCTTAGGTCTGATGCTTGCAGCGAACACACGTGAGGGTAATACGACGACCTCGATCGCAACCGTCCCTGTCTGTGAGGCGTTTCGGCTAATCCTATTTTTCCTCGTCTTCGACCTGGTTGTCTTCTTGCCACAAACGTTGCTCGGCGCAAAGCACTGTCACGACTGATTCGAGAAAGATGTGGTTTTATTGCAACGAACGCGGAAGTGTGAATTTCTCAAACATTTCCTTGTTTCCTCCTGCCTTCAACTTGATTGGCAGGTATTCTCCAATCAGATAGATCGCGCCGGTCACAACGCGTCGTCCATTCTTCTCTTTCCTCAGGGATTGCTTTGCCACGTGATTCTTGTGTGCAAGAAAGAAAAACGTTCCTTCTTTTTGGAAGGCGAACAAACGCGTTTTTCACAATCGCACGGGTACCATTCGACGATCAGTTAAGTCACGGTTCCCTGTCCATTGCCCACCTTTTGCCTGCTTTTCACGATGACGTCTTTCGGCCCCATTTACTCTCTGAATATCTGCCCGTTGGAGGGGGCATGGTGGCGAAACGAAATCCCTATCATCATTTGTTTCCTAACTTTCTCACAATGGCAGTTATTTTGCACCACTCTCGTCAGCGACCGGGTTTCGCTGACGTCTAGCTTTGTCTAGACGTATGGTTAAGTTGAAACGACAGGCCGGTTTTGTACGCCTTGAAGTAAATACGAACAGACCCCCGCGGACGTAAATTATCCTGAAATGGCTGAAGGCGATGGAAAAACTTCGACCTGTAAAACGCTACTCGCATTACTCTTAACGGAGGACTTCAATTATTGTTGTCCTCGTCACCTGAGGTATCAGGGTCTAGAGGAGAGAGTACCCAGATTAATGATGCCTGATGCTTTCGCTTCTCAGAATGATTTACGCGATGTTGGTTGCTGCGGCAAAGGTCATATTTCTCATCGCAAGCAAATCCACCGCCTACCTTCCGTATAGATTGTATATAAACGGTAAAACTTGATGAACGATCAAAGGTCGAATAACTGATTGACTCACGTGTAGATAACTTATCAGACAAAAAACTCACTGAATGACAAGCAGCAAAAATTGTTTAAGCTAAGAGTTCAGAATCGCCTAGTGACGGAAAACACGACAATCGTCATGACTGAAGAAGATGAATCCTCATGCTTGACGAACGACAGAAGTCCAACGAGAAACAGATGACGTGTTAGCATCAGATGATTCCACATGGCCAGAAGTGCAGACTCCGACTTCACTACACCATATGCTAGAACCAAGCGAGACGAGGTGTACTAGAAGTGAAGCTATGAACTGCAAAACCTAAAATGGCAGGTTAATCAGGGGCACAGAATAGACATGTGCAAAATACGAGGTTGGACGACTAGTGTCATAATGCCGCTGCACGGCATGACATGCGGCAACCAGTCTAACAAAACATAAACAACGAACGGTGAACTACATACACAGCAACATGCATCGGCTTGGACGCAAAACGACCGTTACATGACACGATCACTTAACGAATGGCTCTGGTCTCCTCCGAGCACAAGTCTTCACTAGATACATGAAGATTAAGAAAAGGACGATGACCCTGTCAGACAAACCGGTTGAGCATAAACCATTTACTGCAGCCTATTTATCCAGCGCGAGTCGAAACATGGCGACATCCACCAGGAGGTCAGCACGCAGCAGGGGAAAAAACGTACAGACAGATGTGTGCTCAACGAGTGACGATCACCGTAAGAATTCGGTGATCACTGCCATACAGTAAATACGTTGAAACGCTGCTCGAACGGTAGGTGTTAAAGGAAAACGTTCCGCTAATGCAGATGACCAAAAGTGATTATGTAAGACAGTCCCCTGACAAAAAAATACATCATAAACAGAAGTTAACAGATGTTCCATTAACGTGCACTTGACACTTGCATTACGCGATCAAGGTCGCTTAGTGACCGCCTTTACGGAATGGGTCAATAGCCCCAAAAAGCGGAAAATCTTCAGCAATTATCAAAGTAATTTCAATATTGAATTAGTTAACTCCTGGCGGCACTGTTGATCACCTCCCCGAAAGATGATTTAGCCGTAGTAAACAAAGACAAGCGTCCAGCACTAGGCAGAAACAACGGACACTCAGTTTTCACAATATTTTCTACACAAAGACCGCAGCGGTGGCAAGCACTACTATCACAGCTCAGAACGAAGGCCGCGTAAATGTCGAAGTTTTCGAAGAGTTCAATGCGCTCAATTTCAACGTACTAACCATCCATCAAAATCATGGGAATAAGGTTATCATGACGATCCAGACATCATCTATCAGCTACAGTAAAGCAATCCCGTCAGTGTCGCCACGCCTTCCTCGGGGGACAGACAGTGCGACGAAAAACAAACAAATAACGTGTCGTGCGTTTTTTAGGTTTATTAGTGCGAACCACAACCCGAATTCTCTAGGTTTGCAATCCCAGTGTCTGTTCTGCTCTTAAACAAAACTGCTTCAAAAGAAGTAGAGAGCCATATTGACTCCGGTTTTCTTCACCCGTTTTGTTCTTCTTGTAGCCAGCTTATCCTGTTCTTCTGATACCGTATTTTTATTCCTGTTGATCTTATTCGCCTTTTTCATCCTCTGCTTCCCAGCATTTCGTTTCTGCACTTATTCATTTTCTTCTGCTTCTTCTGGTCCTTCTCTACGGCGAGGTTTCTTCAAATGACTATTGCTGTGAAGAGGTTCGACGAGCTTCGAAGCCTCGTCATCCAAATTAGCCTTGCTTCCGCGCCGCTCGTTCTTCAGATCAAGAGATAGCAATTGCGATTTTTGGACATGGGATCTGAGAGCCACAGAGAAAAACTGTACATTGGAGCTATTACAGGGCAAAGCTACACAGAAGGCGACCTCGGGGGTAGATCGAATCGATTACATGAGGAATTTGTGGGTATCACCTTTTGAATTAATTTAAGATATATCAGTGAATTATTCCCTAGTACAACGTTACTAGCTGCGGTTGGTCGTTTGCCGCTCACCGCGATGAAGAAGCCGATGGAAAAGCTGGATTTCAACGAACCCCTGACATTCAATTAAGCAAACCATGCATCGGAATCTACTGGTGCTTCTGATATTCGCTGACTGCGGTCGAACAACGTTGTAAGCCAGTGGTCACCAGCTTCAAAATTCTTTTTCCGAGTAGAGGTTGAGTTAAGCGCAAACGAGGGACGGGGGTTATGACACGGTTTGATTCTTTCTGATTCTCGTCTTTCTGTTGATATGAAATCAGTTTAACGACAGGGTGCTGCCCCGACGGGGTCTGTACAAACCTTAAACTGTAAAACGAGCTTCGAATTCGGTGGACAAGCGTCCATCGTTCAAAGTGCAGCAGGCGAAGGTCATCATCGACAATGCATAAAAAAGTCCTCGGAATTTGATGGACAATTTACACGTAACGGTATTTAGAAATAGTTTGTCTGTATGAGATCGAATGAATGAGAAGACTTGAACGTCGGTCGAAATGGGTCTAACTTCCTTTCTTCTGCATTACATGCTATGTGTGAATGGTATCTAATATTTAATAAGTTATTCGTTAACATGCCAGTAATATTTTTCAAAACAGCAGGTGTTCTTCAGAGAAGTTTTCAAAGAAATCTCAGCATTTGTTTTGATTAAGGTTTGCAAACATTAATTTAGTTAAACAGACTTTTTTCTTTTAATTATTTAATCAGTAAATTATTTAAACAGTTT